TCTCTGACAGAACGATCTGACCTCATTATGGATTCAGCGAATGCTACGGATCTGGAAATTTTTTTATCCCACAACAATACACGCATGGATCGTCAGGAGGAGCAGATGCTAGCTACGGGACGGGCTGTGCAAGCCTTGGTAGCGCAGGTGTCCGAGCTCACCACCCAACTACAACAGCTGAGCTTACCCACTGCGCCACTCCCACCGCCGGTTCCCTCTACATCTACAGGCATCGGACGTCAGCATGAGCCACGTTTACCCACACCAGAGACATATGCTGGTGAGCCTAACCACTGTAGAGCCTTTCTGACTAAGTGTTCAATGTTTTTCTCTCTCCAACCAGTGACGTTCGCCACGGAACAGTCTAAGGTGGCTCTAGTATTGACACTGCTGTCAGGACGCGCGGCTCTGTGGGGAACGGCGGTGTGGGAGAATGAACATTCCTGTTGCACTTCGTTCCAGGCCCTCTCTCAGGAGATGAGACGGGTTTTTGATCATGCATTGACGGGTCGTGAGGCCGCACGCATGTTGGCCGAACTACGGCAGGAGGACAGGACCGTCTCTGACTATTCCATCGAGTTCCGGACCCTGGCGGCGGAATGTAAATGGAACGAAGAGGCGCAGTGGGACATGTTCCTGCATGGGTTGGCTGACCGTATTCAGAAAGAGATTTTTGCTATGGAGTTACCCTCTGGTCTTGATGGACTGATCGATCTAGCCATTCGCGATGACACGTGTCTTCAGCGGGGTGAGCAACGAGGTCGTTCCACTTTTAGGTCGGGACTTCCTGTTGTCTCCGCTGCCAACTCCAGTATGACGGTCAGCCCCACATCCACTTGCGAACCCATGCAGGTGGGTAGAGCTCGGCTTTCCCGGGAGGAGAGTAACCGCCGGAGAGCTATGGGACTCTGCCTATACTGTGGCTCTGAGGGGCACATCCTGGTTCACTGTCCAGCCCGACAGTAGAACCGAGGTTACTGTCGGGTGGATTATCCTTGGAGAAATCCTCGTCCTCAACTCTCCTCTCGGTAAGACTACAATGGGCAGCCCGATTCCACAACTGCCAAGCCCTGCTGGATTCCGGAGCAGAGGGTAATTTCATGGACTACAGTCGGGCATCTCACCTTCAAATCCCCATAGTTCCTCTCTGCCACAAGATCTCTGTTAATGCACTCAATGGACATAACCTTCCCAGTATCACACACACTACGGGATCTATCACCCTCATAACCTCAGGAAACCATTCTGAGGAGATCACCCTCTTGCTCACGGAGTCCCCACTGGTGCCTATTGTCCTTGGTCATCCATGGCTGGTTCAGCATGGTCCCAGGGTGGATTGGGGTTGGAACTCCATATCGGCGTGGAGCGACTCATGTTATGCTTCTTCTTCTCTTCCTCCGCATCGTCCCTATGACTGTGCCATAGATCTAGTACGTCTCCGCCTAAGGGCAAGTTATATTTGCTTTCTGTTCCAGAAAGGGAGGTCATGAAGAAATATATTTCTGATTCTCTAGCAGCCGGGCTCATCCGCCCCTCCTCTTCTCCCGCTGGGGCAGGGTTTTTTTTCTGATCGATTGTGATGCCGTGCTCACTGACATGCTTGCGCACGAATCACGGTCACGCACATGCTCATAAGAATTGTAAGATCTACTGCATAATAATAATAATAATGCAATTAAATAATTAAAGGATTAAAAGTTATTTAAGGGGGTTAGAGGGTTCGGGGGTACCCTTTATTGTCTGGACCGATCATAAGAACCTCGAATATATCAGGTCCGCCAAACGACTTAACTCCAGGCAGGCTCGGTGGGCACTTTTTCGGTCGCTTCGACTTTACACTTTCCTATCGTCCGGGTTCTAAGAACATCAAACCCGATGCGTTGTCTCGCGTTTTTGAACTTTCCGACCGCCCATCCACTCCCGAGAGTATTTTACCTGAGCGACTCATCGTCTCCACTCTCGTATGGGAGGTCGTGTCGAAGGTCCGCACGGCCTTAGAAGGGGTAACGCCTCCGCCCGGTTGCCCACCGAGTCGATTATTTGTGCCAGAGAGGTTACGGTCCGACGTCGTTCGGTGGGGTCATTGTTCCAGCGTGGCTTGTCATCCAGGGGTAAATTGGACTAGTTTCCTCGTAAAACGGAGAGGTTACAGTCCGACGTCGTTCGGTGGGGTCATTGTTCCAGCTTGGCTTGTCATCCAGGGGTGAATCGGACTAGTTTCCTCGTAAAAGAGCGATTCTGGTGGCCTTCTATGGCTT